CATCAAGGAAATCTCTGCAAGAAGCATTAACAACAATATTGAAAAGAACTGGATAGATTATATTTTAGAGATACTGAAATTGTGTTAACCTAATGTAAATTCAGATCATAATCCACTTGTTGCTGTTGTTCAAAGAAAAAGCAGAAAGTCACAGAAATTGAACAAGTAAAGGTACAATCCTACGCCTTCTTAGATAGAAGAACATTAGTATAACTCTCAGAACTTCTAGAATTTTCTTCTGTCTAAGCAGGCATTGGATTGCACTCCAAGAGATCCAACTGTATATGCAGCTGCTAAGAAAAGGATTGAAGAACATACTGAGAGTGCATATTCAAACTGTTTAGGTATGCTACCTGTTCTAATCAGCAGAGGTAAATGTGACTAATAACCTAGATATAGATTTTTAAAAGTAGATTTTCTTTATATTTCTATTGTATTGTGTTGCCCTGTTTTATGGGCTGTTGTACATGACCCAAAGAGCTTCAGCTATGGAATGGAATAGAAATGAAATAAATAATACATGATAATAAAGCTTAGTAAGAGAAAGACAAAATGGATAAACAGAGATAAGATAAAATTACAAGCACATTGGAAATGAAGTTAAGGAAGCTAAAAATTAGAAGGCTGAATAATGCAGAAGAACAGAAAATTGAGAAAAGATCAACAACTCTGTAACATACATAAAACAAACAAGGAAGTAGCAACCATATTTTAAAAAGAAAAAAATGACCGCCACTTGATGGGCAAGAATAGTTCTTTGATACTTAATGGTATCATTTGCACTGCTGAGTGAATATAAACTGTTTGAAGATAACAAACCAAAATGTATTATACCAGAAGTTGATACTAGACCAGAAATACAGAAAAGCACAATTCAAAATGCAGTGTAGCTAATAAAAATGGCAAAATTCCTGAATGTGGGAAATGCTCATCCAGAAAGTAAGTTAATAGACAATGATATAAATCAAATCTACAGAACTGGGATCATCCAGTCAATTGCTGTTATAATACCCACAAACAAAAATGCTTATGTCTGCAAGTAATTATAAAACAATACATTTTCTAAGACATTTACTTGTTTTTTAAAAAAACAAAACATGGTAATATTTACAAAAATGCAAAAAGGGCAGGAGACATAATAGATTCAGAAGAGGATTTGGCACTAGGAAAGCAATATTTTGTACACATGTACTCAGGCAGAGCTGCCATAATATAAGCATGGATGTATATCATGCTTTACTATGAGAAAAACTGCTGATAAAGTAACACATGGTGTTAAGGGAACTGTCGGCAAACACAGTTCTTCACTCAAGAGATAGTCATATAACTGGTAACTTTCAGTGCCAGCAAAAGCCATATTGAAAGCTAAAGGTCAAGTAACAGAGATACAGAAATACAATGAGAGGTAGACATGGAGGTATATGTTCACCTTTGTTTTTAATTTGTCCTCTAAGAATATTCTTAGGGAAGAACTTCCTGGTGGTATTATTCTAGCTTATCAATAAAATCTAGTGTGCAGATGATTCAGTAATGCTAGCTGAATGTTTACAAAGATTACTTAATAAAGCAATAAACATGGTTTAAAAGAGAACGTTAACAAATCAAGTGCATGGTGGGTAAAAAAAGCAAGTGGCCAAAAAAGTGCAGTTAAAAATCAACAATCAAAATGTGGAGCAAGTAGATAAATATACCTACCGTGAAATCTGGCTAAATAAGCAGGGGGCCAATGATGATGACACAGAAGTTAGAAGTTAGAATAAAGTTGGCCTTGGGTGCTTTTTAAAAAATGAAAAACTTAACTACTCTTGAGAAAATGAATTGTACAGAACAATGTGTTCCCTATGGCATGGAATTGTAGATCTAGAACGCCATAAAAAAGATGCATTTGCAATGTGGATAGACAGCATGATTTTATGAATTTGGACCAAGATGGTGACCAATGAAGAAGTACTAAAGAGAATGAACAAAGACCAAGAAATCCTAACAGCTATAAAGTGCAGAAAGTTAGAACATATATTAAGAAATTAAACTACAGGTTGCTGCAGTTGATTATTCGAAGTAAAACAAATGGGAGAAGTAGTGCCAGAAGAAGTCCTTAGCTGAAAATGCTTGGAAAAAGGCAGGATCATACAATACCATTGATAAGTGGCCACTCTAAAGACAGTCAAACTATGATGAGGTCCAGCCATGGGAAAGATAGTGAAATAGACCTGCCATAGATTCGACTCAAAGAATGCCCTTTTAAAAACATTGCATAATTTAATACATAGAAGTGACTGTTGATGGCTACTGGGCTATACGAGTTTCAAAGAGGACCACCCCCTTCTTCAGAGGCAGCTCCATCACTGAATAGCAGCTGCTGAGGAGCCACAGCATGTGGTCATCTCTATTCTGCATCCAAAAAATAATAAGAAACAGCTAAAATACAAAAGTCTGAATTTCTTTGCTCCCCAAGCCCCTATTAACTAGCCAAAACACTGAAGAAACCCAAAAGTCATCTCTAAAATATGGTGTGAAGAGTCTGCCAAATCAGCAAGGAAAATGCATTTATCCCTAACTCCTTAGAACTATTCCGCACAAGACAAGAAAGGGAAAATTACAACTGTAAAGCTAGTCCACCGTTGGAAAATGAGTCTTGTGTCCAAGATGACAAACTAAAGAGGAATTTTGAAATTCCTTGCTACATAGCAGGAGACAGTCAAAGCAATTTTAAAAAATAAATCAACTGATCAGAAAAGAAGCCATTGCCTTGAGTGCAATAGGGAACACACTGGCAGCCCACAATTAAACTGCAGATCCCAAATGGAGTGGAAACACCATTTCATTCCTCACAGAAGCTAGTTAACTCTCATCTCACAATTACTCAACTTTTTCTGTGTCCAAAGAGATAAAACAACACCTTTCTACTTCCTACCACAATGAAAAACAATTACTCCTGAAAATGGCAATCAGCATCCTAAGAAATACAACAGGCTTTTGGGTTTGAATTTGCTATTTTGTAGCATTCCCAGTAATATCTATGAGATTCTATAATGTTAATATGGTTTAGACTGAAGCTTGTGACGTACTAGCAACCAATCCATGATAGACAATTTGATTAATAAGAACCATTACAAAGTCTGTATTTCATGACTGCAATGCTGCTCATACTTGGAATTCTACATTAGTTGCAAGTATTAGCATTTCAGCAAGCATTTAAAAAGGTTGTTGCAGTGTTCAAAACCACAGCAAGTGAAGACTGTTTACAGAAAGTCTTCAAGACATTTTGAAAAGATGTCTTTTGTTCTTTCTTTGAATAGAACATTTCATTAGAAATTCAACTGTTAGTATTATATTCCAACCAGTTCTGAATGTAGGTGCACTTTTAAATAGCTGTCCTTCTCATCATCTCCTGGGCATCATGACCAGGTTTGCATATTACAATGGCTACATCCACATGACACAATAAGCCAGTAAAATTCTGAACAACTGTAAACAAGTCAGTATGTTGGTGTATGCACAGCGCTTGTTCACTCATGCTTGGTTCCTTCAACAAGACAGAGCAGCCAAACTGCAGATCTTCCATTTGTCATTTATCATGGAATTCTGGCTTGTCTTGCCAGAGATGAACCAGAGTATAAGGCATGGTTCATTCCTGGCTTATGTCTCTGGCTCTTCTGGGGAAACCAGAGTTCCCACTTTACAAGTCTATGTAAACAACTGTGCTATTTCTAAAACTGGAAGAACGCCCATAGTAATTCTCTGAAATCAGGAATTTTCAGCCCATTTTGCTGCTCATTTCCCCTCACATTATCTATAATTCCAACCCATCCTCCACATCCAAGCGCCTCACCACACAGCAACCCTCCCCAATCTGATGCCCTCCAGATGTTTTGAATTCCCACAGCCCCAGCAAGCACAAGCATTGTCTGGAATATTTGGGAGTTATAGCCCAAAACATATGGAAGGCACCAGGATGGAAAAAGACTGCCATACAGAAAACCTTCCCCAGTAATATGTTGGCCATAGCCCTTCCACACAGAAATTGCCATCAATACATGCACTTTAACCCAAAATAAAATCGACACTTTTCAGTCTTCTGCGTAGCATCACCACCAATGCCACGAAGCCACCTTAGGGGCCGCTTCCCAGGACTCCCAGCACGCCTTTCCTAAACAGAGAGCGGCCTTTTTCTCCTACCTTGCGTCTCCTCCACCCACAAACCGGGCGGCGTTTTTAACCAGGCGCGGGCGCGCAGGCGGGGGGGCTCGAGGCAGGCGTGGCGCCTCCGGCAGCGCAGAGCAGCGCCGGGGGGCCAAGCCCGAGGATCAGCCGCCGCCGCAGCAAAACGACGGGGGAAGCTTCGCGACCGGAAGCACGTAGGCGGCGGCCTCGGCGACAGCCCCATCCCCCGCCGCGGCCCTCCCCGGCTGGCTCTCCTTCGAGCGAGAGGCTGCGGTGGGCGAAAATGCGACGGGCCGCGCCGCCTGACCGGCTGAAGCCAGCCTCGGGCCGCCCCGCTGCGAGGCCGGCAGCGCGGCTTTCCCGCGAGCGCTCGCCGCACGCTGCCTTCTCTGAGAAAATGGCGCTCGGAGCGCTTCTCCCGCCTCCGCTCCGCGCCCCTCCCCCCTCCCCCGGCCGACCGCTTCTGGGCCCGAAGGCTGCCTCTCGCGGGGCCACTGCAGGGCCCTCAGCGAGCGGGGAGGGCAGCGCGCGCGCCCGCCCGGAGGGAAGCGCTCCGCTCGTGGCGGCTCGCCAGCTGCGGCGCCGCAGCGGCCCCGAGGGGGCGGGCAGGTGCGGGTGCGCTTCCCCAGCCCCTAAGCGGGCGGCAGAGCGGGCCGGACATAGGAGAAGCGGCGCCTCGCCCGCCTCGGCCTTCGGCCTGCTGCGACCCGCGCCCCGCGCGCGCGGCCGCCGCTTGGCCCCGCGGAGTCCGTGCTGTGCGATGCACTTGTGCTGCACTGCACTGCGCTCCGCGCGGACGGCGAAGCGGAGCAGGCGGCGGCGCCTCCCTCACTCACCGCGGGACGCGGCCTTCGCCTCTCGCCTTCGCCGCCTCACGGTCCAGGTACGCCGCAGCAGGCCCGAACTCTCTGCGCGCGCAAGCCACGAAGGAGAAGGGAGCCCGCTGGGGGATGTAGTTCTTCCGGTGCACGGGTCCTTTGGCCGCCCCTCGGCCAGCACTACAACTCCCAGCATGCCTGTTGTCCGCCATAGGTAGTTCGCACCGCCCGTTCTTCGGCCTCGAGGTGCTCCTCCCGTTCCTCGCGGCTGTTTCTCTCTTGCCGGAGGGGCTGACGGGAGATGCAGTTTTATGAGCCATACGCTTGCCATAAGCTCCCATTGAGGCTCTGGGGAGGTGGGAGAGAGCGCAAATTCCAGGGACTGCGCGTGCCACGTGCTCTGGGGGAAGGGTTTCCTGCGGGACTTCGGTGCAAACGAGTGGTTCATTCATTTATTAGATTTATCTCCTGCTTTTTTTCTTTTTTAAAAAACTCAAAGCGTCTTACATCATCATTTAGGACATGAAGAAGCAGAATTTAAAGGTCAGACCCACATTTTTCCATTTGAGTGACCAGTCACATCAGCAGAAGTGGGATTAATATTAGCAAGTAATAAACATTTTAATTCATTACTGTTGTCCTGCAGTCCTCTGTCACACCGATCCGCAATTCAGAGGCTCGGAAATCAGTTTCTTGTCAGGGCAAATAGGTTTATTTACAATTGAATGCATGGATCCATGGGTGCCTAAGAAGGAACACCCAATGTTAATTCCATTAGGGTTATATAGAATACATAGAACCATAGAAACAGCGAGTCAGAAGGGGTCTCCCGGGCCATCTAGTCTGACCTCCGGCACCAGCCAGCCATGCACAATACACAAAAGGGGAGTGAATACAACACACAGGAAGGTGATTGGATACTTTGATATGGATAGGAAAGTGATTGAATGCAGGTCACAGCACCATAAAGAAAAGTTACATTTCATTCTAATTAGATGCCTTTGACAGGCCTTCTAAACTAAAATTGCCTTGAACAGACTGGCCAAGTTAAGTAAACAAAAAGGTTACATGTGTGAACTTACAGGGTTAGGGAGACACTTTAGCAAGCCTATGAAACACAGAGATTACACTTTGACAGTTACCCACTAACAGAGTGGGGTCATCTGGTCTTCACCACCAGACACCGAGGCATCGTTTGATGTGTTTATGGCAGGGTAGTGGGGTGGGATGGTAAGAATTGCTTTTCTGAGTACACCTCACTTCCCCAGGAGCAGTTGAACCTAGTGGAGCTTTCTTCTAAATACCCTGCATTGTTGTGAGCAAAGATCATTTACATTTTGGGGTTTGTTGACAGCTATCAGGATAAAGGGAGAAAAAACCTATTTAGAGCCTCTTCAAATCCATACACTCATGGAACACTGCAGATCTCTGCAACTGCAGAAATGCAGCTAAAATCTTTCTTTTAAAATGTGAACCTATGTGTGCATGTTTTTGCACAATTTGTTTTAAAATGATATGAAAGAGTTGCAGCAATTGGGTAAACTGCTGGAGCATCTGCATGAGCTCCTTAAACAGCCAGTGAGATGGTAAACTTTGTTTCTGAACTGTACCACTCCCGAGTGCAGGTTCTGGAAGCACCTGGCTGAATGTTCCTTCACACTAAAAGACTTCATCAGAAAGGCTGTGTATACTGTATGCTTTTCTGAGGAGTATTTCCAAGCCTAAATATGTTTTGGATGTTCTGATGAGCCACAAGCAACAGAACAGCTGTAGCTTCAAGGAAATTCTTCAGAATTGCCTTTCTTCCCCCTGAGCCCCTTTTACAAACTGAAATGGTTTCTCAAAGCTGACACCTGCTCCCTTTGTTCAGCTGAGCAACAAAGCCTGTGGGAACCCAGGGCAAGTTCTGCTTCACAACATTCCTAGGAACTGCCCTTCCAGACCAACCTGCCTGCATGGTCAGCTATGAAGCTTCATCATGTCTAGAGCATGGAAGCCTGGCTAAAGTCTAGACAAGAGCAGAGCCCCCGTGAAAAAAGAAGTGGGCATCCCAAAGAGCTTGGAAGAAGAACCTGGAGCAACAGATGAGATCATGGGCTCAGAGAAACAAGGCCAGGAAGCAGCACGGTGATTCATACAGCCGATGTAACGGGATCCAGGAGAAGCAAAGCTGAGTAGATGCCAGGAGTCAAACAGCTTTAGAACAAGAACTGGGAAGCAAGTGAAATGATCGGTACAGAAGTCTGCTCATCAGCTAAGCAAGGGAGGAAAGAAATAATGTATTGTGACAAGAGCACCAGGGTGAGCCACCAGTCTCTAGGCTAGTAGGTCTCAGAGGCTGCGGATGAGATGAGCCTTGTTCAGGATGGGATTCAAAACTTCAGGACGATGTGTTAAAAATAGATCTCTTGGGGGAGTCATCAGCCTATTATAAATAAGCAACAGCTGAGCAGCTAAAAATGAGGAACAGAGAGGAGGTAGTCTTGGGTCACAAACTCAACTCTGCTCTTCAGCAATCAGGAGGGAAGGCAGTGAGCCCCCAGACTGGAACCAGGCCAGCATCGAGATCAGGAAGCACCCGTAATTGCATGGGGAGGAGGCAGTGCTTCTCCTTAGATTTCTCAGTGGTGAACTATAGAGAAAACCGTGGGCTGAGCCAGACAGTTAAATAGCTTCCTTGCCTTCTAAGTCTTCGGATCAACAGTATCTCAGACAGTCTTTAGCACTGGACACCCGAGCGGCATGCAGCGGAACTTCAGTGCCATGCGTTGCCGCTGTGGAGCTGGCCGTTTCCTTAGCACAGCGCCAGGTAGCACAGGCTGCGAAGAACGAGCCCTGAGCCACAGTTCCACTCCCAGTTCAGCCACGAACTTGCCACCCACTCAGTTCTTAGTCATCTGAAGGCAGCACCTTCTAGGGCTGTTCCACGGAGTACTGATTTCAGGGTGGCCTGTGTAAATTATCTGAACGAAGTGCAAAATGCAATGAAACAATATACTTCATGCAAGCTGCAGACTAAAATGGCGCAGGGTGCTGTAAGACTCTGCGAAAGAGCCAGGTCGAGCAGGACGCTTCCAGCTTGGCACCAGAAAGGCTGTAATGTTTGCAGAGGAAGGTGCCACAGGGAATGGCCTCCACTGACGACCCCGGCGCATAAATCAGCTGCCCTGGGATGGACTAGCCATGCATACAATCATGCCCACAGTGGAGAAAGTAGGCAGGAGGACATCCCGCCCCCATAATGCTGGAACCCAGTGGGGTCACCCCACAAGGTTGACTGGTGGGAGATTCAAGCCTTCCCAAGCCGGGTCTCCTTGAGATGTTCTGAACTTCAGGTCCCACCTCTCTGAACTAGCATGCTCTATGGCGGGAACTTTGGGCCAAAACAGCTGGAGGGCATCCAGCTGGGGAAGTCTGCATTGCAGTAATACGCCTGGCCAGCAGCCCACTGATTCCTGCGGTAAGGCCATCCCTGTCTAGGAACAGTTGAATCAACTGCATCAAAGGTCGTGTCCAAACTGTGCCAGCTTTTTCATGGGGAGTGCAGCTCCCATCCAGAACTGGTTGCGCACCAGTTCCAGAATGACAAATCACCTATCCAGAAAGCTACCAGCTTATCAGGATTGAGCATCAGTTGTCGGCACTCATCCAGGCCATGATCGGATCCTGGCATTAGCTTGGCTCCTTCACTTCATTCGATGACAGAAGGAGGTAGAGCTGCATGTCATCAGCATACAATACTCCAAATGGATGACCTCAACCAGCAGCTCTATGTAGGTGTCAAAGCACACAGAGGATGAAGTGGGATTGTGCACCCCCAACCCCAAAACATGGGGCAGAGTTGAAAATCCCCAAAGTTGTTTTTTGAAGCTGATCCACAAGGAGAAGCGGAGCTGCAGCGCCAGGGCATCCCCGCATCCCACCCACAGAGGCAGTTCAGGAAGACGCCTAAGTCGGTTGTGCCAGACCCTCTTGAGTGAGCAAGCAGAACCAGCCGCTTGCAGTGCTCTGACTCCCTCCTGATCATCATGAGGACCAAGGTACTTCTGTTGCCTAATCCAGACATGAACCCTGATTGAAATGGGCCAACTTAGCTAATTTCACCCCAAAGTGTTGTCCTGAGTGGGATTGCCCCCACCTTCTCAATTTCCAACCCCAAAGGGGGTTGCTTGCAACTGGGCAAGAGTTGCTCCAATTCTCTGGGTCCAAAGCAGTTGGCTTTAGCAGTGGTCACACTGCTGAAGGTGGCTGGAACCTGCTAAGTAGCTGGAGTCACTACCCCCTTATCCATGGCCTCTGCAGCCAACTACCCCTTGGATTCTCTGTTTGGCTGTAATTCAAGTCAATGGGTTTGCCTGCAGAGGGAAAGAGCAGCTGCCATGGAAGCCTCGCCAAGGAAGCCTCACCAACCATGGCACTGGCATCCTCAGGAATCCTGCAGTTCCAGGCTCCCTACCGCCTGCTCCAGTTGAGACTCCCAGGTCAGGGCTGTGTTCGGCAATGGCCCACTTGCTCTGGGTCTGCCCCAGGAAGGCACCTTTTCAGATGAGGATCCGGTCTGAGGGTCCTTCTAATTCCAATAATACCCCAGATACCCCTCCGCCTCACTGCTCTTTCCCCACCGCACCAACCCAACCCTATCTATCTCTGCCCACCCTATCCATAATCCCACTGCTCTCATCCCACTACCCCACAGAAGGACAGAGTGGAGTGTCTTCTTTGCTCCGGGGGTCGCCAGCCGCTCCTGATGATCCATGTGGCACAAACGACGTGGCCAGGCAGGGTGTGGGCGGGATCACCAGGGACTTGGAGGCCTTGGGGAAGGAACTCAGGGAGCTAAAGGCCCAAGTGGCCTCCTCGTCAATCTTATCGGTCCGGGGATTTGGGCCAGGCAGGGACAGGAGCATCTCCGAGGTGAACGACTGGCTTAGGGTGTGGTGCCAGAAGGAACGCTTCGGGTTCCTCGACCATGGCACTCGTTTTCTTGCCAATGGACTTCTGGCGAGGGAAGGGTTACACCTCACGAGGATGGGGAAAAGGTCCTTTGGAGATGCTCTAGTGAGCTTCAGCCAGAAGACTTTAAACTGAGCCGGGAGGTGGGGTGTTCAGGCCCCCCAGAAATGTGTCTGCACTGGA